CAAATATGAACATACACTCCCATTTCACATTGTGCATCCATAATCCATAAATATACATATGGAATTTTGTGTCACTATTTGTTGGAGCATTTTAATTAAATAGTTTCTAAAATATGACTTAAATTTACATTCTTGTTTGGACAAAACAAGTGTATCTATATGGAATTGAGGATTCACTTTGTGAAATTCTTTCTTTTAAAATTTGATATTTGAAATCTCAATTTGAATGATTTTAACTACTGTCAAGTTTTCTCAAAGACTCACAACGTAATTTTTGCGATTTTAGCCCTGTACATTTTAAAAACAAATATGAAGGTTATATCATTTGGTCAAATATTACAACAATACCTTTACAATTTTAAAATGTTATTGGTCGATGAAAATGAATCTCAAAATTCTCACAATATACAAAGTTTCTTCTACATATATGTAAACTTTACAAAAAAAAAAATACAAAATTCGAATGTTAAGAAAAATGCACATTGACACCGTCAAGAACCACCAAGCTATGCCACAACCGTGCTACCGTATATGGTACATGACATAAGATATACATGTTGTTACCATAACACACCATTTAAAAAACTGCTCCTACATAAATATATGGAGAAATCTATGGCTACGTATCAACAAACTTATTATATCTTTTATTATGGAAAACATCCGAGTCAATACACATCATGTTTCCTTATAATCGCATTTTCATTTTTTATCAAAAACAAAAATGATATAACTAAGTACAGAGTAAACTACAAATTTGATATATGTGGTTTGTCGAAAATAACAATTTCCGTCCGTAATTTTGAAATTACAAAATGATCATCGTGGCTTTTAAAATGTTCAAACTAAAAACGTCCGAATTTAGTCCCTAACTCTAACGGAATCAAAATTGATTTTATGGTTTTGGTCCTTGTGTTTTTGCAAGAGTAAAACGGCAAAAAGAAAACCTTAAAAACACGAAAATGCCCTCATTTAATGAAATTATTTAATGATCGTTATAAAAAGGGACTGAACCACGATGACCATTTTGTAGTTTTGAAATTACAAAGACGAACACTGTTATTTTTTACAGACGAAAGGAACCAAATCTATAGTTAACTCTTAATGGACAGAAATTAAACGATTTTTGTAACAACATGAATGATTTTTAAATCTCACTTTTTAAAATTTTAGTGATTAAAAATTAAAAATTGATGTCTATAATTTATAAATGCGAATAGAAATAAATCATACGGGACCCACAAAGTGTGGTTCAGACCGACGGATGTAAAACTTGGTGGGACCATCTTGGACTTTCTCACACAAGTCAAAGACTCCTTAATTTGACCCACCCTCGACCAATATTCTTCAAGAATAATTTAATTTAGGCTTTAGGTCCTTTATGTTTGCCCATTTTATTGGTTTTAGTCCCTTAACTTTATTTATCCTAAACTTGTCTTTGACGTTTGCAAAGTGTATAGGTTTTCTCCTTTGAACTAACGATCGTAATGCTTTTTTATTAAATCTAACTAAATGACAAGTATTTTGGTCTTTTTATCTTTTTTCTATCTTTTAGTTGATAACAGAAACTACTATATATAAAATTAAAAAATAAATAACATAAACCTCCCTCTTAAAAATGGTGTCAACCCTGCCCTTCGCCTTTGCCCTGTTGACGAGACCCATTGCCAACCACCCTCCCCTTTATGCAATCAGTTTTGGCAACTATATCAGACTAAAACTTTTCAGATCAAACACCAAATTAAAAGGTTATTACTCTAATCATGTATTGGAATCAAATTATGAAAAGAAACATATGTGATCAGATTTGGAGCGATTGATACAAGTTACAAAGAGAAAAAAAAAACTTTTCTTCAATTTAACCAGTAATAACTAAAGCTAAAACCATACATCAAAAGCCTAAACCTAACTTAAACAAAATACCTAAATCAAACCTATACCTTATATCAAACATAAACCTAAATCAAAATCAAACAATTACAACGTGAATCCATTTCTTTTGTGTTTTCTCACTGTTGGTTTAGATTTCTTCAATTTAATTGAGGGTATGTTGGATCTTGAGTGTAGGAGCATAAAACATGGTAGTAAATTTTAAGAAATTTAAACTTTCTACTGCCCTCGATATGAATCGTTTTGTCACAATTGCTCTTGATCTTTATTGAATCTGGAGTGTTTTGGCACAACTGCTTTAAGTATGTAGCCTATATTCTTTGTTGAATCTGAGAGGCTTTACCATGGGAAAAGGAATATGTCAGAGATCCAGGGAGCCAACAGGGGAAGGGGGAAAGCCATGAAGGGAGGGTTATGTTTGGTAAATGGGAGAAAGCATTATATTTTTTTTTTTTACCTTTTATATTAATACCTGTCATTAACATAAAAGATAATCGATGTTAGACAAATGGAATAAACCAAAGGGTTTTAGAAATGTCAAGAACAAATACGGAATAAATAAAGTTAAGGAATGAAAACCATCAAAATGAACAAACATCAAGAGCTGAATCCATAGTTTACTCTTCTTTCCCAACAATTGTATATTTTTCATCTCTACTATTCTATTCTAGTATAAATGTTTTAGATAAAAGCCCTGAAAACAACTTATTAAACATTAACTATTACTTACTACAGGTTAATCATGTTGAGAATCACAAAAGGTTAATCATATTGAGAATCACAAAAGGTTATAATAATGTGAACCAATATATCATATGCTATTTTGTATGATATTTTTATCCAAGATGGAAATTCAAGTATTGAGTAACATATATTTGTCTGTAATATAAAACTATTTTACCTGTTTGTGAAACAAAAATTACATGTAAAAAGTTTCGTATTGTCATCAAACACATTGTTAAACAAATTTTATATAATATATAGGCTATAGGTTCATTTGAGAAATATCAAATATATGAGAAATAGAGAAGTAATCCTAAATCTTCCACTAAAAATTTAACGGTCAAGGTTTGAGGGGCTAATCGTGTAGCACCAGATAATTCGATCGCATGGTAACAACTATGAGTAAGATAAAAGGGTAGTTTCTTAAGTTTTACCATTAGACGACAAACAAATTATAATATGTGCATATGTGAATCCATCTGATTCATATATGAACTATATGTGTGATGTTCCAGAAATCAATCAATCACAAATGTCAAGAACTCAAACAAGATCAACAATGGTAGATTATGTAAAAGTAGAGAAAGAAAGTTCTTCAAAGGTTTTGCGTATTAGCTTCAAAGATTACAAATGAAAATGCTAATCTAAAATTAAAGACAATGACATTAATTATATTAAAGACAATTATAAAGGAAATAGGAAGCTTGAATACAACTTTAAAGCACAAAGCATTGAACCCAACATTCTCCCCCTTTGGATTCAAGCTCTAGAAATTGAAAATCTTGATCATCTAAATCCTAGATGTGTCTCAAACCTTCTTATAGCATTCATGTACCCAATCTTCTCATCAAGTAACTCTAGAGCTTTAAGTAATATGAACCTTTCTCTCATATTCATCTTGTTAGTCCCCGACGCTTTGTCATCTTGAACTTTCTTTAACTCGAGCTGCTTCCTGATAATTTTTGGTTGTTCCATCACTGTACTTTTTGAGTTCACTGAACCTCATAAACCTTTTGGCACCTTCAGAGTTTTCATAGGTTACACCTAACTCCGGATCTTCAAGAATCGTATACAAAGGATAACCATCAACGTCTTCTAAATCTTGATTCGACTTTTTCAGATGGACATGCTTTTGATTACCTTCATATCCCATATGAACATCTATAACATAAGACAATTTTCTTTGACACTTAAGAAATATTTTTATGGCTTCTAATCTACTAACTATTCCTTCTAATATGGCAGTCTGGTTTCAGAAATCATG